TATTTGATTCAAATATATGGGTATAAATAATTTCCCATACAAAATCGGTCGTCACCATTTTGCAAACACGTGCATGCGCTGGATGTGAGAGAAGGAGTCAAAAAGTATGTGTGTGTAGGTATTACGACTTTTGAATAACAGATGGCGCAATATTTATAACCAAATCGCAGCGTATGTATGTAAATACATACATACGTACATATGTTGATTGTAGTTAATGTGGATCTGATTCTCTTTTAGTAAGCCATGTATATACATATGTACATAAATATTTTATATGTACATATATGAACATATGTATGCACAATACACGAAAACTTTTTGAAGTGAAACTTCTTTAGCGCTTCTTGAGTATATGCACATGGTATTAATTTAACATAAACTTGCTAATAAAGAGAATAACACTTGGAAAAAGACAATACAAGAATTAAAGTAAAGGTGAGTACGTATATAGATAAAGAAAAGGATAAATAAGGTAATTATAGAGAAAAGGATATATGTAGACGGAGACTCAATCTGGGGACCATTTCGGGATTTTAGAGATTTTCTGAATTCTCGGGATTTATCAATATAATAATCGATATTTTATCGGTTTTGTTATCGATATTTTTTTATCGATTTTGTTATCGAAATTTTTTATCGATACTGTTATTGATTTTGCTATCGATATTTTCGGAACTTATCGACATAATAAACGATATTTTTTATCGATTTTGTTATCGATATTTAATCGATTTTGTAATCGATTTTGTTTTCGATATTTTTATAGATTTTTTAGCCGATTTTGCTATCGATATTTTGTTATCGCTTTTGTTATCGATATTTTTCATAGTACGTGCTTTCGTTATTGACTTGGATGTGCTCTTAACCATGTATTCTACGTTTAAATTTAGCTGCTGTGTCTCCCATACAGCCTGCGGACCAAGACAAAGGCGCTGGACTGTTCCTTAAAAAAAAAAAAAAATGTTTGTACATCACTATCGTATAAGTGATTTGTGTTATTTATTATTACCCTGAAGTCATTATATTCGTTTTTGGGTTTAAGAACTGTGTTATAACAAGATCTCATTTTTTAGATAAGCCGATTTCATGAATTTTATAAAAAAAAACTTTGGCGATTTCTGGCGATTTTTTTTTTTGCAAAAATGGCTCTTTTCTTTTTAATCAATCTGGACACCCTGATAAGAAATGCCCCCACCAATGTTGCCGTTGTGCGACTAAAGGGGCAATTTGACTCGTTTTAAGCGCTAATATCCTTTGACCCGACTTTTAGGAAATTTTGATTATTTGACCCTTTTTCCAAAACTACGTGCTATTTTCTTTTTAAATTCAACCTATTTATTCTTTTACTAGTAAAGAAAAGCAAAAATAATATGGTGGTACTTTTTTTCGTCAATGACCCCTTTTTTGAGACTTTCTTGAATATTCTCAACGACAACACTGTCCCCCACAAGAGAAGTAGTCCGAAAGGGTAAGATCTGGTGAACGTGGTGGCCTGTGAATAACTCAGTGAGAGGGGAGACCAGTATGTTTGCATATATTTATAAAAAATATTCATTGGATCAACTATTACTTTCATAAGTCATGCAGAGTCCGCAAGAAGCTCCGGAAGCAGTATCCGGAGGATGCCCATTAGGCCGAGCATACTTTGAACTGCCATCAAATTATAACATAAGACAGTTTTATTACATGACAGTTGAGAAGTGCATGTGCAAAATTTTCATAAATTTAATGCAGGAAAGTTTTGCACATGCATCAGTGAATTTAGGCGCCCGCAAAATGTGCCGGTATTTGAATTTGATAGGTAATTCGCCTGACTTTAAAGCAGGGATCACACGATTTGTACATTTGTACAGATTGGTACATTTTGACAGTTGTAGAGGGGGTTCTTTAAAAGTTTTTAATGTGCTGAACTCATTCTCGATACAAATTTTCTAACCAACACCACTCTCTGACTGCTAAAATGTACAAATCTGTAAATTTGATATCATTTGCGGGTGAATTACGAGGGACTATTTTAGGGCTAACACAGGGTTGGTTAAATAACCAAAAGATAAAAAAACAACCTTTGAAATAATGATTTTTACCGGTTACACATAACTAAAAAGACTAAGTACATATTCATGATTAGTTACCATAAAAGAAGTAATTGAAAACCATCGAAGCCATATCAGTGGCATGGTAATTAATTCACGAAAATCTAAACCACAACAAGTTTCCGTAGTCAATGTCATAGGTATTTACATAAGTTAGCATAGCAATTCCATAGCTTCCAGGAATCAATCAAGCATACAACACATAATCATCGGTTTTCGTTGTTGAATCGATTATACAATAGCGCAACATATTTAGTTTGGAAATAAGCACTTCGAAATAACTAAATTCCTGAATAGGTCCCTGAAGCATTAACATTTTATTGACATTAGAAACAGCAAACTAATTAGGAAGTAATTCATAATGCTTGGGTAATTCATAAACTATTTGCTAATGAAAATTTTCGAATAAAAGAAGCTTTGCCAATAACTGTTTAGTGGTAGTGGTAGTTTCGCATAGTGTATTCTTTCAGTAGGGTAATTCGCTTTTTTGTGTATTCGTTGTATCTTGTTTAAGTGTACCTGAATGAGCGTGTTATTTATTGTTGCTAGTGGTACGATAAATACATTCGCAACAACAATCACATGCCCATCCAGTTACACTTACACAAGATACATACAACAAATACACAAAGTAGTAAAT